TTCGTTTACCAGCTTCCTAGAAACTTGTGTTTCCATCCTTTAGTTCTTGATGTATCATGAGCCTTTGGAGCTTCAGTAAACAGTTGTCCTGGCCATTAATGGTTGACTGGAGAGGAAAGGGAATGAAGAATCAGTGTGTACTGGCAGGCCCTTGTACCATCTCTAACAGCAATTATCACAGTAATTAAACTTTTAAATAAAGAGAACTTGCATGGCTAAACTGAACTGTTGATTGACAGATTTCATGGATGGATCTTTTTGTTGTAGCAAGTACTTAATATTGGAGCCACATGGCCACCCACAGATGACACATTCTATTCCTGTTCTTGACACACCGCCTGCTTTTTACTGTTTTTGTGCCTATTTCTATAAGATGTTGTTCAGAAAGATCATATTGTGGTACTTCTTATGCCAAAATGTAATTTTCCTCTAACTCCAAAGACTCAGAGAAGATTGCACATCCTTAAGTTTATCTTTAAGGAGCTCTTTATTTTTCACGTAATGGAATGTCTAATGTCACATTTTGCATTGTATAACTGCAATTAATAAAAAAGATTTCAACATCTTTTAGTAAGAATATAAAATCAGTCTAGTGACACTGTGCTAACTTTACCGTAGGCTGTGTCCTACTGGAGCTAAATTTCTGGAGCTTTAGAGAATTTAGGAGCTTCTTTCAATATTTTAGGTGTGCTATTTTGCAAATGTAAATTGCTCAGAGACTTGATTTAATAATGTTAAGTCCATATTCTCATTAAATGGAAATTACCAGGGCCTGATGTTCCTGTTTCTCAGTGTGGGTCTTAAAGCCATGAGTCTAATGAACTGTATAAAATTAGTACTAAATTTCACAACCAAGAAGCAAAAGTTTTCCACAGAGAGCTCTTGAGTAGGATGTGGGATGATGTGGAATTGTTACCTGGCAAGCCCGATATATAAATAAATCCCTGTCTATTAATGGCCAACACTTTAAAGCAAAGTATCCCTTGAACTATTAGTCTGATGATCAATATAATTTTTGATAGAGTTTGCAATGTTTGAATGTCCTTTATCTCTCTTTTTAAAAAATGTAGCATGTTTACAATAGTTTGCGATTTTACTAGGTAGTGGTCTTTTCTACTGCTTCGCTATTGTTCCAGTCATGCTGGAACTGCCTTGACATAGTATTGAGGAAGAGTCACAAGTATCAGGAAAATAAACATATGAGAGTGGTTTTGTTACTTTAGACCTACTTTAGGCCCTATGGGAGGGCCTAGATGATACTGCCTTCACTAGAGTGCTGGGGGTACCCTGGTGTGGTGGGGGCACCAATTCCCTGTAGCAGCTTCATGGTGGCTTCCTCTGTATTCCAGGGCTGCCCGTGAGAGATGCTGCTGTGGAACTGAGCTGCCTACTTTCAACAGGAAGATAGGGTACCAAAATGGCAGCTACCACGTGAGACACTCAGGTTAGATGGAAGGTGGAAGCAACTGCTGCAATGGGCAGCAAGGATAGACTGGCAGTCAAGATGTCTTGCTGGCTGGGCACGGTGGCTCACACCTGTAATCCTAGCACTGTGGGATTTAGTTAGTATTGTGAACTATAATTCCTCCTTTTCAATGTGTTGTGGTGCATTGTATCACTTCTATTGGTCTGGCATTGGAGTTTCTGACACTGAGGTGTATTATTGGGATGTTAGTCTTCTATGCATTGTATATTGAGAAGTAATGACGTTTTCCATCTCCTTTATGTGTTTCTTTATATGATTATTAAAAGGTTTTCAGGCCATATTTTCTAGCACTAATTTCATTGTAAAACAGTTACCAGAACTTAAAATATCTATTCCAAGACCCACAGGGACTTGGATATGTAGTTGCTCTATCTTAGTCTTTCTCAGGGCCCGGTATGTGCTTCTGCCCTTGGGTAATTACATGAAATTTCAGTTCAAATGATTTAGTCTGTGATGGAGGGCTATCCTTTCAGGAATTCAGAACTTCAAAACTTTACTCTTGAATTTCAGGTTCAGAGTGTGTTGGGGAGTAGCATAGTGAATAGAGCAAGACCCTTATTCATTTCCTGTTTAGAGCTACAGAAATGGCAATTTCATGCAGGTCAACCCAGTTCCTAAGCATAAAACTGTTGTCTCATCCAAACCCCAACCACCAAGCCATCAAGCCCAGCATCTCAAGGGAATATCAGATGCTACCAGATGCTTGCCTATGAGGGCTAATCACTTCCATTGTCCTTGGAAGACATGCCAATCTGCTTTAATATGTTTAGAGTGGGCATATACCCAAGATTGTCATCTGGCCCACAGATTAATGCTTTTGAGTTAGGGAACTTAAAACTTTCCCTCCTGTAATACAGGGAACCCTTTAGCCTGCCTTAATTAAGCGGGGACCTTGGTGATGGCACATCCTATTTCCCATTGTAGCATATATCATGGGTCTGGACTCCCTCTTGACTTAGAGGCTGATTGACCACTTAATATCCATCCTTGTGGATGCTATCTGCTTTTATATCTTGTATATTTTCCATAATTAACTTCCCCCTGGTCACCATTAACTCCATTAGACATTATTGCCAGTCAACCAAAAGTGTCTAGTAGTCTAATGTAAAGAAGATATGCTACTTCATGTTTACCTTTGAGATGTGCCCACAATTAAAGGACCAACTGGACAAGTCCAAAAGACTCTTCTAACATTTATTTGTATGGAAGGAGCTAGAGACCAGTTAAACTTTGAATTTTAACAGAGATCCACTTTGATAATGGCCTTTGTGGTTATGAATACCATCATCAAGATGTTCCCAGAACGTTAGAGTTTTTCCTCTGGACTTCACCATTTATCTGGAGAAGATACCCTTGCCAGAAGTTGCTGACAGTGAGGAAACTTAGTCATAGACCAAAAGAAAGGGATTATAATGTCTAGAAGTTAGCCAAGCAGTGTGGACTGAGAAAACGAGCCTATTTCACTTTAAAAGGCTTTCACAACCTTGAGATTTGTCCATCACTTAGCAACACGCCCTGGCAAAATAACAAACTAATGATTTCTGAACATCTATCTTTAGGCTTGAAATTCTATTATCACTATTTCATTTTTTTTCCTGATTTTTAAAAGTGAATAAACTGAAATTTGAACATGGCATGGTCATTGCTCAGTCTATAAGAATACTGAAAATGACTCAGTTTAGAAAGTTACTATGGAAGTGCATTATTACTAAAGCTTAGAGTGAGGCAGCATCATTACGAATGATCTCACGGCTGATTCTAATCATATGTCTTTTCTTGGGAGAAAATTCTGTAATTCTTCTGTCCCAGTTGTAGATCACTTGGTTACTTTTCCCTAGAATATTGTAAACTATCTTGCTTTCTATCAACTTTAAGTCACACTCCTTCTCCCAGTTTTTCTGAGGCTTTCAAGATCTCAGTAGATCTACCTCCTACCTCCTTTCAGTGTGTTACATACTAAATGATTTTGATTAAAATTTATAATTTTATATAATGATTCTTGATAATATAACACTGAGTAGAAATGATAATGTGTCAGAACTAAAAATATTCCACTTAATAGTTCATTCACTTGGCTTCCTAAAAAAAATGCCATAATAGCAATAAAGTTTTAAATTCTTTCGTTAGGTTTAACATTGTAGTTAAATATATACATTCATTTTAAATAATCAATACTACAATACTTTTCTATACTACTTGGTGTAGTATATATTAGGAGAGCATTTTTAAACTTTTCTTTCTTCTAAATAGCATAATATATGTATGGGTGGTTAGAAATTTCTTACTGGTTTTCCAACTCTCCATGAAAAAGCACAATAAGAAAACATTTGACATCTGTGTTTTAAAGCAAATTTAATTTGCGTTTTAATTCTTGTTTTGCAGTTAGGGGGTGAGAATTGCAAATTTAAAAAGAAAATAGCTTCTGAAATTTAGTGCAGTGTGCAGGCCTGGAGAAATGAATGCTATAGCTTTAAGATAAGATAGTCTGGTGATTCATTGCACGAAACAAGATCGATTTGAAGCAGGCTCCTACTGTTAGCTTTTTTGAAGATGGATTCTCACGCCGAAAATAACACAACATATTCTAGATAACAGCAGTTTTTCCCCCTGAAATCCACCAAAACTGAAGAAAAATCCAAGTGACTGTTCTTAGCAGCTGTGTGGCCTGGAGTTCACTGGGGAAGCTGGCTTCCTGCAGTCCCCTATTCATCACCTGCTTCAAAGACAGCCTGGCTGGCTATAGTTTGCAGGCCAGGTAGGGTGCCATTGTGCACAGTCTGGGAGGATTAGTATCAAAGCTGCGGCAACCAGGCCCTTGGTCTCCGGCTGCCATTCAGTCTAGCAGGGAGAGGCTAAGACTGGCCAAGGTCACAGTCTCCAGTGTGGAGTGGACTGGGAAAGGATCCTGAGAATAGAATGCTCTTTATGAAATCATGGCGCAAGCTTGCAGCACAGCAGGTGCCCTTCTGGAACACATAACATCTGTTTATGTTGGTATACCGTAGCTGACAACAAGATAATAGAGCTTTGAAATTTATCATTTTATTTTTGAAAAGACAACTGTATATACAATAATCCAGATGCATATTTGGCTCTGATCTTTTATTTGAAAATCATAAAGAAAACTCACCGATTTAAGTGCTGCTTTTTACGTGTATATATTTAAGCAAAAAGCAAAGCGTACTGACTATTAACCATTTACAACCATTGCTGATCAGTAATACCCTAATTCTTGGGGAGGAAATACCTAGCATTCAACATAATTTTTTTAAATGTTCAGACATTTGTGTCAACAGATTGCAGAAGGATTTACTGAATATGCCCAACTATTTTGAATATTAGGAAGTTTAGATAACCACCCCCCTCAAATAAGTGTATTTCAACAGTGAGGTAATAATGACGCAAAAATAAAATTTTCAACTTGGACAAATTAGAGAAAAATTAAGCTGTACATGAGTTGTCATGACGACAAGGATGTTCTGTTGATGAACTGTCCTCCTCATTGTCCAATCAGATAGTAGAGCTGAAGCTGGAGCATGAACAGGAGAAGACGCACCTATTACAGCAGCATAACGCAGAGAAGGATAGCCTAGTCCGAGACCATGAACGGGAAATTGAAAACCTGGAAAAACAGCTTCGCGCTGCCAATATGGAGCACGAAAATCAAATTCAGGAGTTCAAGAAACGAGATGCACAGGTAATTATCAATAATATTTGATAAAATGGGTATCTATTTTTAAAAAGTCATCAGCGTTTAGTGTTTTCTTATTATTCTTGTTGATGCACGCTGTTTGATCATTTGCAAAACTGACATATAAATGTGATTTTTTTTTGTTTGTTTTTCTCACCCCACCCCCCTGTTTGGGAGATGAATAAGGCTTTAACTACAGAAACCACAGGTAGCCAGATTAAAAATCCCATGGCGCGCTATAACTTGGCCCCTTTTTTATAATCTTGTCTCAGTTCCTTTCATGACGGATTTTTTTTAAGGTATCTGCCCCTTACCCCTCCCCTCAGCCTTAGCAAATCCCTAAGAAATATATCAGCCTCACTCCTTGCTTTCTGTTTTAATCTCTGTAGGTAATCAAGCAGCTGTTTTAACATTTGCTTTTCCTTCCCAGTGTTGCTTTTTTCATTAGACTCTATATTTGATTAGATCACTCAGATGGTAATTGATAAAATGACTCCAGAGAAGAACTATTTCCCATCAGGTCTGTTGCTTTTTCTTGCACACACACATGCCTCCTAGCATCCATCTCTGTAGTCCCTGTTGGAAGCCATTTGGCAGAATAACCCCCAGCTGTGGTAGCATTTGACTCCTCAAACTTGTGGATGAAATGTGCACTGTCAGCATGGAAAATTATCTTTATAAATTTCAGATAAAAAAATCTTAATGGGTGTGTATCTTTGTGTTACAATACATTCTTTAGGGTATATATAATCAAGGGCCTTTAGTGTATCCTCTTGAGGAGAGTGCTGTGAAATTTTATTAAAGAAAAATTTAAGAGCAACTGATAAAAAATAAAAAGATAATATTCTTTTCTCATAAAACCATATCATACACTAGGTCTCAATACCTCTTTCCCATTGAAATCTAACCATACTAACCATACCACACGTAAGCTGCTTCTTCTACATATCCTTCCTTCCAAAATAATATAATTTCCAAGCAATGAAATAAACCTTCTGTTGTACTGTGTGTTTAAACAATTTTTTAACTATCTAAAAATAAAAATACTGCAATTTAAATAAGATGTTAATTTTTTTAGTGGAAAGCGGGAGGCGGTAAGGCAAAGAATAGGAGTTATTGGTTATTTTTCATTTGACCTTGAGTTGTCTTCTATTTCAGGAGAACAACTGATATAATATGAATATACTCAACACAGGTGTTTTTTGTCAATAATATACATTTATGGGAAAATTATTTTCAATTTGTTTTATGGTGGTTTGCTAACTAAAAAGGTAGTCATTGTAGTGGCCATAGTACCAGAATAATGAGGTGGTTCCTGTTATATCAATGTGTATTATACTTTTGCCACCAACCTCATTAAAACCTTTATAAAATATATGCTGATCTTTTTATTTTTAGCCATACAATTTATTAAGAATATTTTCAACCTTATATTCTCCTTCAAACATGATGTTAGACCTTACCACTGTTTTCCCATGGTAAGGGATATATGGGTTCTGAGTCAGTGTAGGGTTTGTTTGTATAGTAAAATTGAATGATGGATATAATAAAATGCATTAATTTATATAACTTCCTACTATTTTGGTGCTGTTGTGGGAAGCTGACACAAGTGGAGGCCAAATTTAGAGGAAACCTTTGTGATTTTGCATATGTCGAATCTGCCATATAGGGTGCGGTTCATCCAATCATAACAAAAGGGAAATTTTAGAACTATTATGTGAAATAAAGCCATAGGGATAGTGTACTTAGGTTATTAATTGAATTTTTTCTTATTGAAATAGTAAGTGTGAGAACTCTGACCTCTTCAGATGCAGTAGTTTAGCATTATATTTCTCATATTTTGTGTCTTTCTTGGAACGTTTTACTAATTGGAATTGCTATCATGGGAATGCCAGTCAGCAATGGAAACTTAGGCTAAATGCATTCTTGGTCAAAAGCAAAATAATTTTGCATATGTTGTATGTAGTTTTTTTAGAGAATACAGTTCTAAAAAACTTTTATCAATAAGTTACATTTTTAAAAATCTCATGTGTACTAAAATGCTCATAATTTATATTTATCTTTGGTTATTTATTGAGGATATTAATTCAAAGTTTCCTTCAGGTAAGTCCTAAATTTTCAAAATATATCTTTTCATGATTATGGTCTAAATAATCTAGTGTATAATACCTTTTAAGTTCTGAATTCCATTTATAAATTTCAAAAAAAAACAAAGTAGGCATATGATTTTCAACATAGAAGATCTTTTTCAAATCATTGTGTTATAGTTTAATGCAGAAAAAATACAAATCTTAAATATTAGATGGTATAATATTTTTTTAGTTCCAGAGAGATTTGATTTTTAGTTAATGTTTGGCTATTCCAGTTTAGCAATGGAGGCCATTTTGTAGAAAGGAATATTTGAAATGCTTAACCAAAGAGGACCAGTGAAATATCTATTCTGGATACTGTGGCTTTGTTTGCTGCTTCTCTTCCATCAGATTCTTAAATGAGGACAATATCCTAAAACTCTCTTTTTGGCTTCTTCCAAATATGTAGTGCATTGTATGCTGATAAGAAAATTATTATTGTAAAGCATAGTTACCTACCTTAAGGTGAAGCATACCAACTAGGAACTCCCTTTTGGTGAATATATTTTATAATTATTAAAGGTTAGTTGTTATTCTAATAATTTCTGTTTTATAGAGCAATGATAAGATATAGAAATGCAACTAAGGACAATTAACCACTTTGTTCATTTTATTTGGTGCAGTTAGCTTATTATTTTATATGTATATTATATTTTCATCAAATATTTTGATTTTCAATGGCAGGATATATTATGTTATGATATTTATATTTGCTAAAATGCTAAAATGTTAAATTTTAACACCCTCATTTAAGATGTTCAGTCTGGTATCTACCTAAAGTAATATGTTTAAGAAAAAGCATCCAGATCAGTAGAAATCAAGACATATAGAAATTCATAACCTTACTGTCAAATATTTCTCATTTACCAGGTCGCTCTTATTGAAATTATTTTGCAGAATAATTTGATTGATTCAATCACATTTTTAATATTAAGAAAATTTATAATCTTAGAAAGCTTCTTACAATATGAAAGTTTTACATGTAATTTTTGCTTTGCTTTTGAATTGTAATATAAGGAAAGAATTTCTACAGTTCATCCTATTAAATTAGCAGAAAAATAGAACATAAGTTCCTTGATCCTTTACTTGTCCTTTTAGGACTCTGAACCATTTAGAGATTGCTTGATCTTTTGTTTGTTGCCAGAGTGGGTGGTGTGTGTGAATACTCTAGAGATTGTTACATAGAACCTTTGTGATCCGCCTCAGAGGTGGTGTCACCATCTTAGGACAGCTATGTGACCTGTTGCAGTACATATAGAAACCTAGCTAACAGGTACAATGAATACTGTTTGAGTGATGGGCACACTTACTGACTTAAGCATTATAAAAGCTATCCATGTAACAAAACATTTGTACCCCCTTAATATTTTAAAATAAAAAAAAATAATAATAAAAAAGGAGTTAGGATAACCAGCAGCCACTGTGAACTGCCATCAGTATTATGCAAATTAAATACAGCATCCTTGGAGAAGGATATCAGCAATATCTGAAAATATATTAAATTTAGTACAGGGGATCTTGCATAACATTGTCATCCAAATGACTTGATTCTCCAAACTGAGAATCTTAAGTCTAATATGAACAATTTTTGCATAATAAATGGAAAAATCATTTTGATTTTGCCATATTGATTCACATTAAGAGCAGAACCTATCACTCATTCTAAAATGTGGAATTTGTAGTAATTCACTCTACTTAACAAAAAGTTTTCCTAAAAAGGTATTTATAAGACAATTTTAATTTGAAAAATTATATCTCAATAACATTATCTTATTTGCCATTGATTTGCAGATATGGGCACAAGATAAAAAAAAAAATCCCCATTTATAAACTCGGTGTGTGCATGCATGCAGTGGCTTATGCATTGGCCATCATTCTTCAAAGATTACTCCAAGGATAAATTTAACAATATACATACTCTGAACATTATTGTTAAACCCATATACATGGTCTTTGGGCTTTGGTAGCATGTTTATATTGAAAACATTTTATTTTAATTTCTTTATATGCCGGTTACTTTCAAAAAGGATTTAAGGCAGAATTTTATAATAAACACACAGTTAAAATAACTGAAAATAATAACAAAGCAATAGTGATATTAACCACATTAGAAAATCTATACTGAAAAAAAAAATGCTACAGTTAAATGTAAGTTTTAGCTCTGAACTTGCCTAGAAGCCACAGCAAAGAGGGAAACATGATGAATTATTTAATTCTTATCATGTAATGAAAGAAATCATAACAGTTGTTTTGTTTTTCTAGCTCTCAGTTCTGAGAGAAATATATACCATGGGACTTAATATAAAGGACATTGACCAATTTAACTGATGATATTCTCTGTATGTTAAAACATTTGGAAATAAAATATGGTGGGAAAACCTTAGTTCTTTATGTACTTTCATAAAATGTAATTATCAGACTTTATTTTAATGTGCCAGAAATTCATTTTAATTTATTGAGGATATCATTATTCTCAAATCAAGAAATAAAGCTGCTTTGAGAAATCCAATTTTGTACATATTATGAATTATAAGAAAGTATATTTTAAGTCACAGGCCTAGAAAATTCTACTATAATCATTTTACCACTGTACCTTATAAAATGTCTTCCAGATGTAAAAATTAGAAACATGGATGAGATTAGAAATAGCTTAGAATTTAATGACTAATATTAATTTCCAAGTGTGTTACTCTCTTTCCTATGTCAGATTCTGTTGTCCTCTTAATTTCTACTATGAAAAACTATAAAAAGGAACAGTAAAATCAAGTGGTAATCCATTTCAGGAATAAAAGATATTTGGACCTGTACTAAAATGGTTCATACCCTACCATATAACCAAAATAGTAATTCATCATTAATCGTTGTTCATTAATATCA